TATCTTTAGCTAAAAGGTCGATCGGCGCTGTTGACGCAAGTACGACTACGGCTGCCTTCGATACGCTGCGATATGGCGTTGACAAGGAAGCGGTAGACTCACTGCTGAAGAGTTTGTACATACTCTGACAGCCTGACCGCTATCAGGGCTCTGAACGCTATGATGGTGCGCTCGTGATTGGTCAGAAAATATCTTATCTCCCTATCAACCGCGTCAGAGTATTTGCTAATCAGGGTCATTTGGGGGCCGCATCACAGTTAATTGCGGGAAAGTGGAAAAGAAGCTTCTAATGCTTGCAAAGCCTCAGCTCTCACTGTTGCTGGGGGTTCTGAAAGGTAATTGTGCGATTGATAATGCACGCGGTGAGACTAGGAATTTCAACGGATGATGAGGAGGAATCATCTCAGCACTCCCTATTAGACTGCAAACATTTTGGCTCGCACTTTTTGGCTACATTATTATTTTTATAATAAGCTTGGGGCATTTCGCCGGCTGAAAAATTACCTCCGTTCAATTTTCTTGCCATCACAGAGAACAATATTTTAATTATGCAAGCTATGGTTCATCTTCTGCACTACTTTTAGGGCCGTTATGATTCAATAGGGTGAAAAAGTGTTCCCTTCATGTTTTAAGTACGTTTTGGATATCGTTCACTAGGTATCCGGGGTTGTTCTAACAGGATTTTGCCCTATTCTTAAAACCTTCTTCCGCAGTCGGCCAGAATTTCAAACTCTTCGCAATCCCTTGTTTCTGTCTATATATTTTTATTATGCAAAATACATCTCGTTTCCCCCTTTTACTTTGACCTTGAGCTTGCGTTCTTGCATTTCTGGACGCAAATTTTTTACGCACAGTGGCGTGACCAACGCACACTACAGACTTTTTAATCGTCCGATAAGTTATTCAGTTTGGGCTGCAAGTACGCGCACGTACATAGTCATCATTCGTTCGCGGACAGAACCTGCAAGCATCGTCCAAAACCAGCGTTTTGCGCAAACTCGAAATACAAGCAAATTTGGGTATTAGTACTGGAGGCGTCATGATATTTTTAACTGCGCATTTGCCCAAAAACTGTTTTCACTTTTGATTCGGGTCCCGTAACTTTAGCTTTATGCTGGACAACATACAAGCATTTGCATGGTTATTTCTGCTAATTTCTTTAGACTTGAGGTAAGTATCGCCTCAGTCTTCTGTTGTTGTAGCACCAGTTCGTAATTTGATGGACAAGTTCAGACATCACTTACTGAGTTATTGCAGCTCTCCTTTATATCACTTATACTCGTATGCTCACTCCCCACTACTATGGCTATGCCATCGGCCATGCCAATTTTTTTGGTTTTACTGGGTAAATTTACTCGGAGTAGTTGAAGAAAGCGCAGTGTGATTCGCTGGAGTATTTTTGCCCCAGAGTCCAGTGAACATGTGGCTTATAGCTTGCAGGATCCTCAGCCGGCTTACCATATTTACTTTGGATGTATCAAAATTTGTTGCTGTTTCCATACTTATGGAAAGTCAGTTCATTGAATGGAGTTGTAAAACCTTGCATCTGGTGTCTTCTTATAGCAACTTTCAGTGCCTTATTCGGTGCTCCGTCGGCCCCGGGAGCTTTGTTATTTCCTATGTAAATTTTTTACTGCTAGCAAGATTTGCTCAGCTTCAACGGGAGCATGGAGCTCTTGCTTCTCTTTATTTATGACTGACTCGAGTGGCCATTTTTCAGAAAACAATAATGGCCACTTAGAAGTGAAATGCTTATTTTTTAGCAATTTCTTTGTATATCTGTATATCTCCCAATACGAACCATATTCATGCCGTATGGAAAGCTTTAATGCAAATTATTAGTCGGCTCAAATAATGGCCTATTAAACCAGCAAAGCAATCGAATTGATATCCCATCCACCATAATGTTTTTTATAAAGTCCTCAATGCCTACTTTTTACCAGATTTTGTAATCAATGATTTCCGTAACCCGAAGATTCAAAGTAGTACCTCATGCGAAGTAGATATGCCAGATCGAAATGTAAAAAATTAATTCTTGAAACGACTCGAATCGGAATTCTTTTAAAAATAATCGATGCAGAAAGAAATCGTCAAAAAATAAATCAATTTTAAAAGATCGTTTCATATATTTCATCAAATAACGTATACTACTTAATTTTTATAACAAAAAAAAGAGAGAGAAGTAGGGCATTGAATTCTTTGGCCTTTGCTCTCTCAAGTAGCAAAGGTGGAAGGTGTCAAGCCCCCTTAATTTCTTTAAAAGTTCATAAATTTTCTGGGGCAAACCGTAGATCAATATGCATCAATTGAGGAAAAATCGAATTATTGATGTTCTCAGATCGATTCACGTATCGAATCGGAACTAAAAAATCGACAAAAAGTCTAATCGATGCTCGATTAATCAATCTTGGATTTATTCGATTTAAAGGCGGCGTCTCTAATGCGAGGTAGAAGAATGCTACGGCAAATGCTTTGAGCGCATATTAAAGTGTTAAAAATAAAAAAAAAATAAAAATAATTAATAATTAATTGTTATTTTATATTTATTCATCGTTATAACAGTAAAATAAATGTTAAAATTTGGCTTTTATTTTTTCGATAAAAAGTAAAACTTAAAATTTAACTTGTTTTTTTTTCATCCAAAATAAAAGTTAAAATTTAATCGTTTAAGTTAAAAACGTTTTATTGCTACGTATAAACAAGATATTAGTCGTTAGTGCAATGATAAGCAAATAACACTGGTCTACAAGGGTTTTGCGAATAAGACGGGACCTGGTGTTTCCGAACGGATTTTTCGTGCTAAACACGAATCTGGGGTCCAAAACTTCCCATCACGTCACGTTTTCGAGAAAAAAGGGGTTGAAACCCCTAAAAACAGCGTTTTTGGCCATTTTTGAAAAATTGTAGAGCTGAACCCTGACGTGCTACAAACTTTGTATATGTCAGAAATTAAAGGCTAAATCGTGCCCTTTCGAATGAGCCCTATGCCGAATTAATCGCATGCACCCTTAGATCAGGGGGTGTATTTGTGTCTAGGAGTCCAATTTTTATATCCACCATATTCGACCCGTCATCTTAAATTTTTAAAATCTAACTGCAGATTCGTAATCAGCGACTTTTAATATAGTTAAAACCTTGGCATTATTAATTTTCTATGATCGTTTAAGATTAAATTCTTTCTGTGATCAATTTTTCCTGCACCCCTAAACACAAATACACCCCCTGCTTTAAGGGTGCACGCGATCAATTCGGCATAGGGCTCATTCGAAAGGGCACGGTTTAGCCTTTAATTTCTGATATATGCAAAATTTGTACCACGTCAGGGTTCAGCTCTATAATTTTTCGAAAATGGCCAAAAAACGCTGTTTTTAGGGGTTTCAACCCCTTTTTTCTCGAAAACGTGACGTGATGGGACATTTTTGACCCCGGATTCGTGTTCAGCACGAAAAATCCGTTCAGAAACACCAGGTCCCGTCTTATTCGCAGAAAAAAAGTTGAAATTTGTAGACCAGTGTAATCAATGCAATAAAGCAATGTGAAGATCGATAGCAATCTATTTTCTTTGACTATCGATAGTGAAATGTCATTTTAACCGGAATTTTTGATTAAAGAAATAAAATCCAACTATTAACAGTTATTGTTTAAGGAAAAAATAAATGTCAAAAGTTAATTTTTATTTTTGATCGAAAAAATTAATATCAAATTTTTATTGTTATTTTACCACGCGACAGTAAATTTTACACGACAAAAAAAAATCAATATACTCGCAAAACAAGGGGTCAAATATAAGAAAACTGCGTTTTTAGTTTTTCTCTAATGATGTCAGGACTTTCAAATCTTAAAGGTATGAGTAGTTCAATAAATTATTTTAAAAAAGTTAGTGAAATATAGAATTGTTATGGGTATCAAATGAACAAGACAATTTTGTAGAATTGAAAAGGATAAATTAATGTGGTGCAGAAGGATGAATACGTATTGAAAATGTCCTTTTAAAATTTTATTCTTATACGTCCGTGAAAATTTGCAATATTTATTTTTGAAACATTTACATGCTGAAGACTAATAAATATATAAACGACTACATCCTCGAATTTTGGCCTTCTTGTTTATTAACTAATAAATATAAGAAATATAAGTAATGAAAGGGCTTTTCCAATTCCTATAAATCCTTGTGACCCAACAAATTTTTAATTCTTTCATTTGGTACGCATATTCCATATATTTTACTTCGAACCGAAGTTTCAGAAAAATATTTTTTTAATTAATCATATTTTTGAAATTTCAAAGTCCTTTAAAAGAAACTCCTGAAGTCAGAGGGCAAAACTAAAAACACAGTTTTACTACATTTGGCCCCTAGTTTCGCGAATATATTAATTTTTTCGAGTGTTTTGATTTTTTTTTGGTTTTTGTCGCACGGTATTTTTACCAAAAAAAGAAGAGACAAATTTTTACTCTTAGTTTTTTAATGGAAAGCATTTCGATGGAAAAATAACGAGTTACAAAAAAATTATAACAGAATTAAAGTTAGAAATAATAATAAGCTAAAGCCGCAAATCAAGAGTCAACACCAATCTCACAGATTTGGCATTGACAATTTTCTTTTCTGGAAATTTACTATATTTGTTGGCGAGTAAAGCGATTGAATTTCATACTCTTTATTGGGCATTGCTACGTTTTTAACAAAACCACTATTTTTTGCTCCTAATCCAAATCAAATACAGTAGCAGAGTGTGAGAAATTTTAAATGTTTTTAAGTTTTTAAGGAGTAATTTTTAAGCAAAAAACACAATTGACTTCAATTCAAATATAAAAATTTAGGAGTACCGTGGGACCACCCGCGCGATACGACCTCTCCGATAGAAAAAGAATTATCGAAATCGGGTGACGTGGTCCAAAAATATGCGGTAACATACATAAAAAAATCCGAATAATTGATGACCTTCTTTTTTTTGAAATCGGTTAGTAAAAACTTTTAACTGTGTTATTTGATTTTACTTTACCTAATATTGAACCAACTTTATCGCAACGTTTTAATGAAGAAAATGGCTCGTTGATGCGTTGATATTATTTCTTCTATCTTCATTTAAGTCTATCTTCGCTGCTAAATATTCCGTACGCAGCTTTGTCTGTTAATAATTTTTTTTAAAAATCAACACTGCGTAATTTGGGTTTCTAATAATGCTGATTTTAGCTGCTTCTTTTGTTGTTGTGTTCCTTTTCACTTGAAACGTTTTTTTATTTAAAATTTTCTTATTTGGTTTTCACAATTTTGTACATTCACTTTTAGTGACTTAAAAATTATTTATTTGCACACTCATACATATGTATGTATGGAATGGTAGTTGCTACGCGTGGTTCAGCGCGGCGTATACGTAACCAACACTTTACTTGCCGTCGCCCACTCAGCTGCTTTCCGTATTTGCGCGCATTGTAAAACGGAAGTGCAAATTTGTCGCCGTCGCAAGACAACAGCTTAGAATTTGTTTTCAAAAATACATACATACGTTCAAAGTGTATTTGTATGTTCATATGTCTCACAAATTCCTTCAGCGCCCAAATATTTGCTAGCACCACAACAATTTCACCAAAGTCGATCGTTAAATTTACATTTCACCGCCGCTGCTAGTATTTTGTGGTTTTACTCCTTTAAATATCAATTATGTATATCCGTAAACAAAACAAGATGGCGCGCGCACACACACACACTCTCACATATACGTAGGTGAGTGGAAATCAGCGCGTTTTTGGCTGCGTCGCCTGTCGGAAATCAAAAATCGGATATGCGAATGACCGAAAAACTAAACTGAAATATATATCGACAGTCGAACGTGGAAGCGATAGTAAGCAACAAGCGGCCGCGCGCTGATAAAATTTCGTTTTAATTCAAACTTTTTTTTTTAATATTTGCGCTGCAACTGTTTTCCTTGTGGACGCGACGGCTGTTGTGGTTGCCAAGAGGTACGCGGTCAGTCACTAAATTTGATTGAAAGTGTCCCACCTACTGAATGTATTTTGTTTTGACACATAAACTGGCCGATAAACTTTTTTCACACAAAAGATTCACTGGCGATTTTTTTATTTTTGTCTACATTTCGCATTGGCTAGCCATTTTTTTTGACGCTACCTCTGCGCTCCTTTCTTCATACTGTATGCAAGTTGTTGTCAATGTATGCCAGCAATTGCTGTGTGTCTTTATTTTTTGGTCGCTCTCCGCCTAACGGTAACTATCTTTAAAAACTGGCACACTGTCCGTTCGTGCAACGCTATGCGACTGTCATGCAATATTAGTTATTTATTTGCACTAACTCGTCCTGTCGACAGTACTGGCTTGCAGCGCGCAACACTCACTCACCCACACCCACACACCAACAGTGAGCAGCGCGTTTTTTTGCGGCTGTGCGGCTTTTAATTTCTTTATTTTTTTTTATGTCTATTCGACTACTCTTTAGAGGATTTGTGGCCATTGCATCTATGGTTGCGGTTGTGGCTACAGCTGCGGCTGCTGCTGCTGCTGCTGCTGCTATGCCATCTTCTCCTCACCGCCGTTGGTGCGTTGTTCGCTGTGGCAGCGCTGCTTTTACACACACTTATACACACGCGCGAGCGCGCCACTATTAACGGTAAATTCCAACCGCAAAATAATGTAATTTACATGATTATGGCCGCTGCGGTGGTTATGCGGAATATTATTTGCAGAGCGCTGCTGCTGGTGCTGCCACAATTTTTGCTACTCTGCTTCTTCTTCTTCTTCCACTTTTTTACCGCAATTCACTTTTATATTATTTTAGTATTATATGCGTTCTGCGCTAACCAGATCTCGCTCGAGGCGCGCTAATGTTAAGTTGTTGTTGTACGCTTTTTAGTGCGCTTCCTGAGACACGCTGGAAAGCAGCAAAAGCGCATTGTTTCAGCATAGCGCCGCGTGTATGTTGCTTATGCTGGCTATGCTCAAGCATGCGAGGCGCTTTCATTTGCTCTGATTACTCGCAAAACTATGCCGTACATACGTACATACATATATATATCCGAGCTCACACACACACATACAGACACACACACAACGGTTGCATCCATTTTGCTTTAAGATGGCGTCTCAACTTAACTGCCACACACGCGCACACACTTTCCTTCTGGCTTTTGCGGTTCCTCCCACAACTTTGCTCCGTTGGCGCTAAACGTCTCTTCTCTCTGCCGATGCCTACAATGCTGCAGCTCCCACTGCCACTGCCACCGCTATTGTGTGGCTACATACATACAGTCACCACCACCGCCACAGAGATAATCGCAACCAGAAACCGCAGTTGTTGCTACTGTTCCTACTATGCCATTTTTTATTTTTTGTTTTTGTATTTTGTTGCTAGCCCAGGCTTGTAAGGATGCGACGGATGTTATACATACATACATACGTACATACTTGCATTAACTTCATTCTCAAATGGCTGAATATAATTCATGCTTGTTCAGAGTTTGTTTGAGCGCATGCGCTTCCAAAGCGCTGATAAGCAGACTGTGCTTGCTGGCAGCCAACGAACGGATGAGCAACAAAATGCGCACACAAAGCCCTACACATGTACATATGTACACACTGGCAGATATATGTACATACATTTCCACAACCACAACTTTGCGTTTATCTTTTCATTGTGGGCGGAGTTTACGCACTTTACGCGCGCAGCAGCGCACTCCCGCAGGCAGGGTGGCGAAGTGAAGCTGCATGCAATGGCGTTAATGATGTTGGGATTTGTACGCAGTACTTTTGTACATAATTTTGCATGTACATATTCATTGTAATTATTGTTTAAAGTTGCACAGTTTTAGTAATGAATACGCAAAATCAGCAGTGCATCAATAAGACTTTGAATGAATGAATGCCGTGCTCCATAATTATGAAGCCCAAAATCGCGTATATGTGCATATTAGGGTGTACGAGAAGTGTTTGTTGCAAAATTTTGTAGGCATATCTGCTCAATCTTTTCCCTTTGATCCAAGTAAATAGCGTAAACATATATGTGCATTAGGGTGGTTAGAAAAAATTTTGAACCTTAAAAAACTGACATTTTGAATTTTGAAAAAACGGACATCAAGTGCATAGTCGGCGACCCCAGAAACCCTCTGGCAACGAGTCTTAACCCATAGCAATGCTTAAAACATTCAGTATCAACGTTTTAGTTTTAGCAGTCTTTTTTCGAAAGCATATTTTTGGGCACTAGACCCATTCTAACTGTCCAAGACAGGTATGTAATTAACGGAATATTGCCCAATAATACCTAAGTAATTACATGTAAAAACGATATATTAGATGCACTTTAACATGTCACGAAAATAGAAAAATTGAGAACATCAGCGTTTTTATAAAAAACCGACTAGCGCGGCCCCCCCCAAAAGAAAACAACTTTTTTTTTTCAAAACAAAAAAATACGTGCCTCGATTTATATCATAAATAACAATATTTTTATGAAGGGTTTATGAATTTCCAAAAAGAGTGTTTCTTGAACCACTCTAATATACATGCATACATATTCAGTTTTATTGAAGTCGAACTATGATAATCCGTTTTGACTTGGAAGTGAACTTTTGGTTAAAAACTTGTACTGAAACTACTACACCGCGCTGCAATACTTATCACACATATTTTTTTTTTTCACCCTTCCTTTATTTGTTTAATCTAGAAATGCAACGTTTCATACAGACTAAAAAGAAAAATTACTAGTAACTACCCTGACTGAAGAAGGCGTTTTTTTTTTTACTTTGAAACAAATGCGGTGAGTAAATGTTTTGAAATTTGGGACTATTATTACTCAAAGAAACAAAGAAATTTGTGTCTTGGAAATATGAAAGAGGATCTGTGAAGTGCAGAACGAAGGCTTACTCAAACGAAACATACTGACTTTGAAGTTCTTTAAGCCAAATGCATTTTAAAATAATTGAAATCAAATGCAGAGTAAGATAATTGACTGCTTCCTTGGACATCGCCATGTTAAATAAATTAGTTCGTCGCAGGGAAAAAAAAGTTATTATAAATTACTCACAAATTAATTTGATTTCCTGCAGGGTACTTGCAAACTAATTAACTCGAACATTTTATAGCAGTTTGAAACTGTTCTTATGTTGTTATAGGAGGCATAATTCCCAAAAAGTTATTTCACTGAAATGAAAATTGTGTATGTGAAAGAAATTTTTTTAATTGTAGTTTTTTATAAAGAAAATGCTTTTGGGAAATTATATTTCAAAAAAAAATCTACAAGAAAAAATAATTTAGGCAAAAACTGCTCTTCGGAAAATGCCATATTAAAAAATATACCAAGGTGTTCACTCCGTTCGCCAAATGGCAGCCCTAACTTACCGCGTTCGTCAAAAAGCTCCGCTTACTACTCCAGGCTCTCTGACGTTTAAGTAAGCCGAGGTTATTAGGATTCTGGCGATCCCTATAGACAGACGAGGTAAGTTGAGTTCCATAAATTTCTGAAATAAACAATTTTCTAACACAGTTGTATTCTTTTATTTCCCGCTCTACAGAAAATCAGCCCTAGCTCTACCCTGTAATAAAGATTTTTTATAGAAAATAATTTTTCGTTTAAACCGGTCTCACGCTCAATTAAGTAGTTGAATACGATTTGTTATTAAGCCACAAAATAACAAAGAAAAATAAAATAAATAAATAATAAAAAATCTTCTTTTCGAAAATATCATTTGACGGGAAAACATATTTTTTAAAGATTTTTTAACGAAAAAAAATTATGTAGAAAATAAGATTTTTTTAGGAAAATAATATGTAAAACTATAAAAAAGTTATCATATTTCAGAAAGAAAATTTTTACTCAGAAAAATTCTTTTGCGCAAAAAATTAGTTCGTTGTAAAAAACATTTTTGGGGAACATACATTTTCGAAAAAAAAGCAATTTTATTTTTATGAAAAAATTATGAGTCTGATACCGTTTCTTTGATAAAAATATGCGGAAAAAAATGTTTAGTTGAGATTAATGAAATTTTTTACGAGAAATTTTTTTTACATACATACATACAAATATTTTCAAATCAGAATTTGATTTTCCAGCCCTCGATGAATCATAACTTACAATTGGAATCATGAGGGTTTTTTTTGTAGTTTACATACATATAGGCTTTTGGTCCTCCATCTCAACAAAAATCCCTGTCCAAACCACTTTCCTGCCAATTACACCGGCACAAAAAGAAAGTGGTATTTGCTTTTAACTAGACCCACCTACCTACATACATGTATGTATTTCGATCCGTTGAATCCGAATCTGAGGTCCGTTTAACTCGTATACCTTCAAAATCTTAAGTAAATTCATAAAATTACGAATTTTTTGCTCGAAATAAATGTCGGTAGGTGGGTCTGGTTAAAAGCACAAACCACTTTTTTGCGCCGGTTTTATCAAAGCTGGATGAAGGAATTATATGACACGTACCGAGGAATTTTTCACAAAGCCCATCCTCTTGAGTAATGCCTCGGATACCGGGCCGATTTCCGGAGTAACTCAACCTTACCTCATTTCAACGGATATCTATCCTGAGTGACTTTTATTTTTAGATCATTTCAAAATCGTTATTTTTTTACTTCTTCAATCACGAATAATCGTTAAATTTGGTTTTTTCGGTCAAATTTAATCGTTATTTTATGATTTTTAACTTTTTCGACCATTTTTATCCGTTATAACGGAGACTGTTTTTATCACTGAATTAAACATTTTATGATCTTAAAAATTAAATCTGAAAATAGCGGTTGTAGTATGGCAAAAAAAAAATATAAATCGTAAAGCAACGGCTAAATTTAATCAGAAAAATAGATATCCAATTTTAACGGTTAAGTTATAATTTTGATTATAAAGATATAACCGTTACGATCCCTGACTTATGTAGAACCGTTTAAGGCTCTTCGGTCCATAAGGATGAGTTTCTATATGTGTTTCGTGCACGGCCAACTCCTATGAATTTGAAACATAAATGACAGGCTGAAGATGTTCTGAATAGTTTCCTATCGAAATAAGGTATATGATAAAGTATGTAACGAGCGATAAATCCAGCAGGTACCGTGCAACAAATCGAGCCAGTTGAGAAGCTAGCTAAAAAGAAGTCGGAACTGGGTTAATATTATATGCCATTGTTTCGCTCTGCATTCCATTTTATTCAAGAAAAACAAGTTTTGTATTAGAGAAGAAAATCAACAACTTCTACATACTAAACTCTGAAGGAATCGTTGTGCGTAGAATTCTAAAGTTCTTTTTGCATCATGCTCAAATTCGCAACCGTCGTTCGCCTGGTAAAGTACATTTTTATCGGCGATATGCGTTTGTTAGAGCCATAAAAGAGGAGCAGAAATGCATCATACATTATACAAGCTAATATACATATCTCATTTCCATGAAATCTAACTTTAAGCTTCGTGCATTTGACAACAACGATTGTTCACTTACATATCTGTTTTTTGTTCAACTTTATTTTACAAAAATACACACTCACGCTTGCATACATATTAAGATAAGTATGCTATGGTACATTATTAATTATGCGATAAATTGCCAAAAAAGAGCACAATGATATATTTAAATGTAGTTAAGAAGAATGTTTAAACAAGTCTATTAAATTCCTTTTTCCATCGAAATGTAAATGTCTCGTGTAGTAGAAACTTTTAAGTGCAAAATATGAATGTTAGTTGCTGGTAAAAAAAAGAAGTAATGATTTTGGCATGCATAGGGGTAACGAAAGAATGTGTCACGGTTGTTCGTAGTTTCACCAACTTAAGGCGTAGCAGTCAGAAATAAGCTAAAAGATTGCATTAGGGCAAGCACTCAGCAATTCAAATTCGCGATTTTGAAGAAACTTTCACATCGAAGAGTTTTCGCACGAAGAAAACCTGTAAATGAATAGTAGATAAAGATTTATCTGCGTTAAATTAACAATTGGTACGAACCTGCACGGAGCATGCTACAAAGATTACCAGAATTTGGCACACGGAGAATGTTTGTATGTAACTGTTGTTGTCGTTCAGTAATGCAAAATCACGGGCTTCACGATTTCTGCTATAGGATTGGTAGGCCAGCATGTCATTAATGTTTCGCTCTACGGTGCCAAGCGTAACCTGAAGAGAGATTGTTTAGTTAATAACTACATAATTGAATATTTATTCGATTGATTTGGGGTACATTTTGACCCGCGTCATTAAGCCGTGTCGCAACTTAAAACTTGTCGCCGCACATACGCAGATATGCATAATAGCAAGCTTTTTAGCACAACCCGTCTGAAAATATTTTTTTTCAAAATACTCACCGTGAAATTTTGCAAATTCAACTGTAGCTCTTCTATTTCCTTAGCATATTTATCCCAAGCATCGTACTTCACTACAGTGATATAAATGTTGACCAGCTTGCCGGCGAAACGGGAGAACTGATTATCGATGCACACAGAATAGTAGCCACCAGGCGATACTTGGTCTGTGTAATCAGCAGTGGCTTGCCACTGATATGGCTTCACAATCTGATTCTGGGGATTACGAACAGCAAACCCAGCCATGCCATCACCTCCACGCACCACCTAAAAATAAATCATACATCATTTTAGTTATTCCAAAGCAATTTTCAGTTAAGCGAACAACTGTTGCACTTACACTAAAGGAAACGTAAAATGTGGCACCGGCCTGCACATATTGGTAATAGCAGTCCTCCTTGCCAGCATCGATATGAACCTTGTAGTCCATAGCTACCGCCGGTAGATTCTCATACCAAGGCTTGTGAATTTCCTCTGTAACTGCATTATTTGTTGCAGTGAATGAAATTAAACAAATTAGTAAAAATGCCGATAGTAATAAACTTGCGTGCCACGTCAAAAAACTCATCTTTTTTGTTTTGAGTTTCACTTGAATCGGGTGGTCAAAAGAAGCAAAAAGGGGCAGCAACAAAAACACAGAAACAAAAGCAATCACTGCACAGCAGTGTTGCCGTTTGAACCCTTTGGTGACTAGAGGCTAGATTTAGCTACAACATACTTTTTTTGGCCACATAAATTTAAAATAGGCCCTTGCCTTGACATTATTTAATTTTTTTCTTTTATGTAATGCTGGTTTTCCACTAGGCATTAAATGGAAAAAATTACAAATGGCAAAGTCGGGCATAAAAAAATAATAGTGTCATTACATTAAAAAAAATAGTCGTTAAGTTCATTTCCACAAGGCATTTTTTTAAATGGCCTAGTGGAAATTCGGCATAAGAGATGAATTTTTAAACTAAAACAGACTGGTATTTATATGTATATGTAAATGTATATTCCTTACGGTTTTATTCAAACTATAAGTGTTAGGGACGGTAACTTATCTGTTAAAGATTTAACTATACTTTAGATAGATAATTTTACTGCTTTTGGCTTTTTTTAAGTAAAAATATTTTGTTTTTGAAATTTCTTACACAAAGCCGTGTTTGTTGAAGATTAAAGTTTGCAATATTACAGTTGTGAATTAAGAAAATAGAAAAGAAAAAAATGTTTAGCAAAAATGTAGAAGAATTATGAAATTTCAGCTCAAATATTTTCGATATATTCTGGATCTCATTTGTAAAGAAATAAATATTCTACCAACATGCTGGTATATTATATGCTTTGTGCCTTATGTAACAATTACTTGATGGTGCCAGCAAGCTGGTGTCGTGCATTTACCTTTTTACCTTTACTTGTTTTTAAAAAGGTTTTTGGTTGTATAAAATATTAGTTTTTTTTTAGAGCTCATTGTTTTTCTATATCATTACTTATTGAAGATATCTGCGTGTAAAAAAAAAAAATTGCGACCATTTTTAGCCCCAACGATATTTTATAGCTCTTTTTACTCCTTTTGGAAAAGGAATCTGGCTACCACTAAAAAGGGAACACGGCAACACTGGCTGCTGCACAGCTGCATTTTGACAGCACAAATGTCAATGTAGGCAAGAGCTGCCATATCTAACATGTTTGAAGTCAAGAAAACCGGATACATGGTTGTGGGTACTCGGCTAAAGTAAAAGTAATTGAATATTATAGGAGATAAATATGAAATAATAAACAATGTCACAATTCATTTGAATTATAAAAAATTACGTAACCTGTATTAGGTACACACACATACACATACAAGCAAAATTTGTTGCATATATTAGAAAGAAGTAGATAACGCAAATGGGCATATTCATTAACAAAATAAAGTAGACTATACAGTCAGTTACATTTTTTGGCATAATTTTGATTGGAATATCTGTCAATGTCAAATTTTTTAAATATATCAAAAATAAAGTTCTTTATTAAAATTAGCCATATTTTGATGTTTCGTTGGCTACACCTCAACCTGACAGCTACCGAGTGATATTACAAAAAGTCATTCACTGACTTAGAGACCACAGACGCGGGGGTAGCCCAGGGTGGTGTCCTATCCCCGCTTTTGTTTAATTTCTATATTTTAAAGCTCCCTCAACCACCAGAGGGAGTCTTTAATGTCTCTTACACTGACGACTGCTCGATAATGGCGTCTGAGAACGGAATTGATGACTTGTGCTCGAAAGTAAACGGCTATCTTTCCGAGCTTTCTCGCTGCTTCACAGCAAAGAGCCTAACCCTCTCCCCTACAAAATCCTCGGCAGCCTTATTTACTACCTGGACGAAGGAGGTCACACTGCAACTGCGTATTCACGTCGATGGCGAACTAATTCCGACGGTGAATAACCTAAAAATCTTCGCAGTTACCTTCGACATTCTGCTCTCCTTCTCGGCGCATACAACCGCAATTGTCAACAGAGTACAGAGCCGCAACAACGTCCTCAAGTCGCTAGCCGGCAAAGACAAAGAAACATTGTTGGCAACATACAGGGCAATTGGCAGTTCTATTCTAAATTATGCAGCGCCCGTGTGGGCGTCGGGGACTAGTAGGACGCAGTGGACGAAGCTGCAGACTATCCAGAACACGGCACTTCTGCCTGTGACTGGATGCCTTCTGATATCGCACCAACACCACCTGCACGACGAGGCCCAGATGCAAGCAGTTCCTAGTAGGGTGCCACAGACGCGGGCACCCAAACAGACAACTGCTCGCAGAAGAGCCCTCGCCAAGGCACGTCAGGAGGCATGTCAACGTACTGACGGACGAAGTCCAGAGGTTCATATAACAACCTCTGGCCCCTCCTGCATGCCGATAGGCCTTAAATGGCATACACAGAGTCGGTTTCGAGTTATATAGACTCTCGACGTTGACGGGAAAGAACTTTGTATGCCTCGGGAGACCCGCACCACAATAGCCGGACTTCGCTCTGGCTATTGCAGCAGGTTAAACTCATACCTGGGGGTCGACTCTGTATTGCGATTCGACAAGAAAATCATTCGAATTCGAAAACTTGGCACTACATATGAGTTTGTATTAGCGCGTGTGTAATTTCGAATCGCAGTACAGAGTAGAATATATGAAGATGTCGGAGAGTCGGCACATGACTCACGGCAACTCTTCGCATGCCACGAAAACCCCACCCAGCTACAATAAACAAAATCTTTCAAATTGTCTTATAAAAAACTTTCCACTATCTTATGTTGATTTCGTTTCTTCCTAAAAATGTTGCTCTTCCACGGTGCAAAATGTGTTTGATGTTAAACTCAACGCTTTAAAATTACCTTCTCGTCCCATGTCTAGCTGGTGATTATAAGGGCAAACATCTCTCCTCTCCTTTGCCATAAAGTAGTGTGACATTTTAAAAAAAGAACATACAATTTTCTCACCATTCGCCTTTATTTTGGAATCGAACAGGAAAAGAGAAAGGGCCAATCAAAAGGCGACATTTTTGGGTAGAAAAGATAACAGCATTAGCCAGAATTGCTCTATTGAAGGACAAACTTCAGCATAAAGAACAGAATAGAGTTTCATCAAAATAAATAAATCCAGAGTACAAGACATTCAAAAAAGCCAATTTTTGTCGACTCCTCGGATCTCAAAAAAATGTGGCCATTGAAGTAAAACAATTTTAGAATATATATGTATTTTTCGAACGTGTGCTTTATTTTTTCGCTTTTTCATCTTTTTTACTCATTATATTGTATAATTTCTTCTTCTTTTTTTTTGTTGTTTGCTGTTTTGCGTTTGCTGTTCATTATTAAGTAGTATTTATTATTCATTTGTATTTATTTGATTTGCTATGCTATTTACCTTTTATCATTTCCGTATTCATTATTATTAAGTATATAATTTTTCGTATATTATTGTTTACAATTTTTTTTTGTGGTTGTTGCTTTTCAAGTTATGAATTCGATTCAAATAGATTTTCATCCTTTTCTTACATATAAATACATATGTTTTACTTGCTTGTGGCTTTAAGAAATCTTCTATCTTTCTATCGCTTACAATTTGTTTTTTTTTTTGTTTTTGTTTGCTAATGATTATGAACATGATAATGATGTTGCAATTTGTAATGTTTGTTACACACATATCTACATAAATACGTAAATATGTATGTAGAGTGCGCATTGTATATGTATGCATACAATATATATGTATGTACTAGAAAGGCATATGCCACCCCACTCTTTTACTCTTGCGACACTTTAAATGCATTAACAATTTGTTGTTATTTTTCTATACATGTATGTATGTGATACTCGTTCTTCTTAGTTAGGCCTTACCATTTTATTTGCAATATTCTGCTTTGTATCTTTGACTTTATCCTATATATGTATATGTTGCATGTGTGTGAGTATGTATGTATGTGTGTGTGACTAAGTGGGAGCCTTTGACCGGCCAATACGGCAGTGTACTTCTAACTTCTACTACGTATTTTTTGTATGTATGTATGCATTGATGGTTGAGAGATTTTCGGGGGGGTTACAAATGGATGAAAGCGCTTAAATTTTATTTTCAATTCGTAAGAAACTAGCTGTATCATTGTATTGGACTTGTTTGTTTTTAATTGTTTGTTTGTTTGTTCGTTTGCTTGCTGAAAATAGTTGCACCTATGTAGTAGTTATGTATGTAAGTATGTAAATGCTTGCAATGATTTCGTATATCAATATGTACGTTAGTTGGTTAAATGCAGAGTATTGTTTATTTTGCTTTTGCTTTTGCTTTTATTTTTGCTTGGCTGCAGATGTTGAATGCTTGTTCTTGCAGTTCTCGATAAATTTTCGAGTTTCGTTTTGGGAATTTATTTATTAAGTACTCTATTACTATTTACCAGCTTCCAGTCAAAACTTCATTCAATGAACGCCAACCAACCAGTTTGGCTTACACATCCATAATCCGCCAGTTAATTACAAAATCTAATATATCTGTATATGTAAGTATGTATATTTTTTAATATTACTTTAAGTTGTTCTCTATAATTGATTTACTTTAATATATTTTTAAATATTTTTTGTTTTGTTTTTTTTTGTTTCAAAATGATTAAACAAATGTAGGTGGAAAGTTTGAAACTCTTATGGGCGCGGTTCTCGAAAAAGGAAGATAGTACTTAATGGTTATTTACTTGTTTGGTTTTTGCAATTATATGTATGTATAACTATTTAAGTTTTTGAATTGTAAATTTTTTTTTGTTCGCAATCGGTATACATACAAACAACGGCCATTTAACAAAGCGAATAATTACATAATTAAAACTCCAAATGTTATAATTGAAATATATGTATTCTGTTTTTTGCAGTATACTACAATATATAATATGTAGGTAAAAATTGATGTAAGTATATATAAAGAGTCTGGCAATCTTAGGCAAAATTTTCTAGCAAGATAAATATATATTTTACAATGGACTGAGGGTGAGATGTGCGCTGGCAAATATTTTAAATTCATGCCTAATGCTATGCTCAAATAGTCTTCTAAACTGATGAATGTGACAATTCTATCAATTTGTTACTGCAACTCAATGAACCGTACATACATATACTTACATATGTATGTATATATAGCATGGTGTCAAAAATCGTGTTTTCGGGTTGATTTTTGTCTGAGGCGACGAACCCCTTAATTGAAGAATCTTCTAGAAATGGGCGTGGAAATTTTTGGACCGTTTTCGGCAGAATATCTATACGCTAACAACCAGGTATGGTAATCATTGTAAGCACAATAATTTAAAACATTATTTTAAGATATTTTGATTTTTTTTAGTTTTATTTTATTTATTATTTTTTTTTTGCTTAACATAAATTTTAATTTGATTTTATTTTTGCGATCACAAATAATGATTATTTTATAATTTTCATTTTTCGAACAGATAAAAATTTTTATTTATAAAATTTAAAAGGCCATAAAACCGCAACCAACTGATAGTTTGACCTGAATATTCAAAAAATTTGAGCGAAAATATAAAAATTAGAAAATAATCACTATTTTAGTCAGAAAAAATAAAACCAGAGTAATAATATTTTTTTTTTTAGGGAAAAAATAAACTTCAAATATTAATTAATATTTACTACTTTTTATGGTTTTATGGTTTTTATGGAAAACAAAACATCGAGAGTTTTTTTTTGCGATGCTTCGAACATGTTTATTTTTAATAAAAAAAATTTCTCTACACTGAAAAACTGAGAAACCACAGTTTTTTCAGTGCACCAGATTTTCTTAGGGTCCACGAGTCGGGCTTTTTAAATACTTGAAACGGACAACGTAAGGCGTCATCGGTGGTGTTCATTTTGTGCTTTACTATTTAGCAGATGACATTGGTCATTATGACTATTTTGGTACTAAAAGCTGGAAGAAAACATGGATTACCTCGTAAGGTGCTTACCTACCAGGGACGCCAACCCTCTTGGGGCTAATTCCCCTATTTTCAATGAAATTCCCCCGAAATGAGTTTTGCTACACATTTAAAGCACTTCATGCTAATTTTTTATTAAAATAAAAACAAATATCATTAATTGTGATATATGTATAATATAAAAAACAAATTTGATGGCTTGGTGGCGAAAACGAAACGAGAAAAGAGAGCGTCAAACGAAAACATGAAAAAAGTGAAAAATTTCGCTATCAGTGTTGCCAGAAAATTTTTAGGCTTATAGCTAAATTCTTCGAAAAAAAAGAACTAAAAATAGCCAAACAATGTGTTTCATAGCCAAACAAAATAGTTAAAAATATCTTTCTTCAAAAATAGCTAAATAAATTAAATAATTAGATCTGTGTTCGTATGGAAAAGTAGCTTATGTCGAAAGGCCGGCTTTAGTATAATGCGGCATTCCCTTTATTTTTTAAACGACAAGGAATTTTTTGATGAGACTTAAAAAGAATATTGACTTGCTAGTATCGGAACTATTTCTTGCACGTTTATTTGCTAAAAGTTGTTTAACGGCTTAGCGCCCGTAAATCATTCGCAATCATATGCTGCGAATGCCGATTTATACTAAAGCCAGCCTTTCGACATTAGCTAATTTTCCATACGAACACAGAGATTATAACGCAAAAAAAGGGGAGTTCTCCCTTGGTTGGCATCACTTTTACCCACTTTCCGAGTGGGATCGGTTCAGGAAACTCTAACACGAAAAAAGTAAAAATTATTTTTGTATGTGTGAAATTTTTTAAATCAATCAAGGTCTTTTTTTTAATATTGTACGAGTACTAAGCCAAATAGTTAATGAAACATCTTCCCTCAGTCACATTGCGGAAATTTACAATACATTTATGAAAAAAGCATAGGAAGGTGTTTTTCCCAGTGGGAATTAGGAGCACGTAATAATACCTTATTAGCAACTTACTCTTCACCTGGCAGTCATTACCATTTCCCTGCCGAACGTCCCTTACTTTTACAAAGGCATGGCCGCCTTATGTAAGTAGGAATTTAGAATGTACATTTGGTATCAGACATACTTCTGAGCCGCTATACAAAGTAAGTTACGTGTAATGCAGAGCAGTCGCTCGGAGTAGTTCGGTGCTTGGAAATAACTTCGGCTGCACGTTATTTTGCAACTGACAACGTAATGTGTCTTCGGAGGTGTTCATTTTGCCCTTTACTAGTAGATGACATTAGCCATGATGACAATTTTGGTACTAAAAACTGAAAGAAAGCATGGCTTACCTCGGAAGGTGCTTACCTATTTTCCCAGTGGGTTAATTTAAAAAATACATATGCACTCGTATGTATATATTCACAATATTCTTTTCAATTATCATCCCCCACAATTCTCCATATCATTGGAAATACTCGGATAATCGTACATACTACTTCTTGCGTGTGTTGTTCGAACTTCTGCTATGGCCTTTGTTATGCAACATCTTAATGGCTTCCAATATATATTTATCATAGTTATTTAAGCTATTTAATTTTCATTATGTCGTATGTATGTATGCACTGCTCGTTTTTTTACTGCTATTGATTTGCTTTGCTGCTGTCACCTCCTTTTTCTGTATATATGTATGTCTCATAATGCATAAGTATAAAGTTATTATTTATATATATATATATATATTTTATAAGTATTAATGTATATGCTATTATTAATTATATCGTAATTTAAATTTATAGTTTTTTTGGGGGTTTTTTGTTTGCATATATTTATTTTTGTTTTCATTGCATCGTATAAAATTTTTTTCCGCAAAAATATATTATAAAATGAATATATTTTTTTTTTTTTTATGTAATATTATCGTCTCGTCTCATCAACGTATCTGTCGCATTCAATTTTACACATAAATCGCCCTTGCTGTGTGGCTAATCACACAAACCCTACTGCGTTTTTTTTTATATAGTAAAAATACAGTTTGCGTCTTGAGTTTTTTGTTCTCGATTTTATTTTTTTTTTTTATTTAGTTATCATATTTTCTTTTTTCTTTTATTTATTAAATAAGTTTTAATGCATAATATTTTTTATTTGCGTAAAGAAAGTGAACTAAATTAAACTTTTTAAATTTCTTTCAGCTTTTTTATTTATTTATTTTTTTTAGTTTTCTGATAATTTTTGTTATACTTTTATCGAACTACATATATCATTTCGGTGTTCAACTGTTGTATATTGTATGGCCAGTCATGAGCATTAAGGACATTCGTTCGGCTTGCCTTTTGAGTGGCAGAAAGACTAGTATGTATTAAATAAGAGGTAGAGAACAATAGATACATATTTAAGTACTTAACTGAATAAATTGCAGCTTTTAAAGCTTCATCTTAACTAACAGCATTGGATGCCATACCTATGGGCATCCTTAATATTTAAAGCTTCTACACTCATATACCGGGACGCAACAACAGCGATTGCTGTGCCTAAATGACTACTGTCATGGATGCCATAGCGACGTGTGAAATGATTGGTATGGGTTAAATGATAATTTAGATAAAAAAATTTAAATTTGAAATCAAACTATCGATTTTATAAATTAAAATGGTGGTGAATGTATCTAGCAACACTACGCAGATTCTTTTGGGTAACCGCAGCTAATCTAGTAGACAAAATCTAATTTAATAAACATAAAAAAAAATCTGAAACTACCTAATGTGATTTTTTTTTTTTTTTTGACGAAATATACTTTGTGTGTGTATTAAAACCAAGTCTAATTTTATGTATGTAGTATAGATCACTTTAAAGTCATTTAAGCACAGCAATTAAAATAAGAGAATTTTTATATACCTTCTTTTTTTTCAAAGCATAAATGTACTCCTGATAATTTTCTGTTTTAAGCTTAACATTTTTTTCAGCGAATTACATATCTATACTATATATGCATGTATGTATGTATTTTTATATTTATATATGTATGCATGTATGTATGTAAATGTCTTCGAGACTTTCTTTTCATGATATTCTGCATCATTTGAAGCTCAGCTAAATTTTTTAGCTTTAAACTATAATGTAGTATTAATATTATCGATTACCCTTCGCACAGTTGTAAAATTTGTTAGCTGTCATAAGCGTTAAAATATACATACATATCTACAATTTATTATAATTTAAGCGAAAAAGAAATAAAATAATTTACATATTTTTTATTACAATTGCTATTCTTGATTTTTTATTTGCTTGCCTTCCTTTTTATAATTTACTTAAGTGCCTAAGCATTTTGTATGATGTATGTATGTACGTAAAAAAGTAATTATTGAACCCATACTAAGCAGAAAAGAAATAAATATAAATACTAATATATATTTTATATAGAAAATGGTAATAATAATTTTATTATAATTAATAAATTTACTAATTTTGCTTTCAATTTTATATCCATTCCTAATAATTTTACAATTACTCGACACTCCACACGCGCCTGCTTTCCTTTTTCTTTTCCCATTCCATTTACTATTGCTGTACAAGTACCAATAACTATTTTATGTACTACAAGTAAATTTAAATAATAAATATTTTTACAAGACTTATTATTACTAAGAAATCATCAGTCGCATTCGGGTCCATCGGAGAAATGGCCGCGCACATCGAGCCCCGACGCTAATTGGAATATTATATGCGACAATGATGGATGCTCCAGTAACTCATTGGATGGCAATGGTGGCTCGCATCGTGGTCTCATATGACGTCCACGAAAGCCACGATGCAATCTCAGTACAACATCACAGAAGACGAAACGTAAAATTAGCGTACGTAAAAAGTCATCGCCGAAGAATTGCACGTACGATGAGTCTATATATATAAATGGTAAAGTGTCAAAAGTTAAATAAACGAAAAATAATGGTACTTTGCACTTAACGCACCTATAAATCCTATGCCCTGCTCGATTTCATCGATGCGACAACGCGTCACAAGTCTTGATGCCTCTGTTATGAATCGGTCTACATGCGATTGGCAGCGCTCCCAATGGTGTATTGGCACATCGCCCACATTGCAAATGTAGCAGAGCGCCGTTAGTGGAGAATGCAGGAACAAGGTGAATAGCGAACCATGATGTTGCACATCAGCTGTGTTGGAGGAAATACAAAAAACAGAACAAAAAAACAAAAGAGTTGATTTACTACTAAATCAATTGCGTACGAAAAAGTTACCTTGAAATGCGGGCGGCACATCTTGCGGTGACATTAGTATGACTAACGGTTGTCCAAAGTACCGGGGGATGTGCTGAAAGACAAATGAATTATCCGAATCGATGATAATGAACATTGGTCTTCGTGTGAAGGGATACAAATCGCCGGGATATAGGCAATGATTCTCCTTGTAGGATTTCCCTCGACATGCAATGCCACCGCCTTCGACGCCATCACGCTTGACGCTCGTAGCAAGGCCACCCAATTCATAACCATCTGCAAACGAATTGTGAAAAGTGTATTTAGTTAATATGTAATGGAAAAATTATTTATTTTTATTATATCGAGCCCTAACCCCGCAAAGAAGGGAAGCGAAATTTTTTCAAAAATTGTATTTTTGATGCGGAAATGCTCCTCCTATAGTATGTAGTCATATAAGGCGAATGGTGGGCCATTTTAAACTATACTCAGCTTGCGTGGTCGGCAGCAGCCGGATATCAACATTCGCTATCGCTAATTTTGGTCACCAGAAATCTCCAAAAGAATAGGAGGCGCACCTAAAAACATGCGACATTTAGTTACCATTGGCCACAGTGCCTACCCACCATTTTTGTTCGAATACATTTTTTTTTTGTTTTTATATCTCAATATAAATTCAATATATCGGCGAGATAGGGCTTTCTTCAACGTAATTTTTGTGTTTCGGATCGGCAGCCGAAATGGGGCGATCTTTCACACAGCCGTCGATATAGTAATCTAGGCTTCACACCTGCCGAATGCCACTCTTACGACCACACTTTTATGTCGCCTACGAAGTCCAAACGATCCCAAAAAGAAAAGCAGAACATCATCAACTTCCTCTCTGGCATGTCAGAGGCCATCTCATGGCTCAAGTCGCATCGCGGCATTTGCTTTTATTTGGCTCAACAGAGCTCCATCATGCGAGCATATTTTAGCTAACCATAGCCATGGGGTAACACACTCTTTAGCCTTTCCGGGGGATAGGTATGTAGGAACGGAAAGGTCTGATGTAACAACGAAGCTAGGATATTTCACTATTTCGTTAGTTAGGAGACATCCAAGAAAAGTTGGGATATTTCGATGCTAATGCTACTCTCGGAAAGTATCCATTGTCGTCAAGATATACATATGCACATAAGTCATCCTTGAAGCAAAGAACAGCCACGACGTTGTTGGAAGTCTGTTCATGATAGTTGAGTTCGCAACTGTTGCAGCAATCTCCTCCTAACCGAATTTACAAAGGCGCAATGCTGCCGCAGTTATCCTTTATCAGACCCTAAAATACGTTAACTCCTGAAAGGGACCCTTGTAAGGTGATAACCAGCGAAGGATTCCAAGCCGGTACACTGATGGTTCCAAGTCTGACGATAGAAGTACTGGGGTCAGCGTATTCGGACCCAGATTTCAGAAATGGCATACACAACCATATTCCAGGTGGAAAGTTTCGTCTTTCATTGAAGGTTTAACTGGACCGCAATAAATATCATGTTGTGCAGGCAGACAACATGGTGAGCCTTAGACTTACGTAAAATCGTGTCAAAACTACATATCAGCCTGTTAAAAAAAGAGTACTGAAGAAACTAGAAGTCCTTAAAAAGGTTAACTTGTGGTGGATTTCAGCTCATAGGGGTTTAAAGAAGTCTGCGTGGTCTCAGCCATTTTAAGGGGCTTCACAACACATACAAGGGATACACAACACAGCTCCAATGGTATCCTCTCGTGGAATCTCTAAACGACTGTGTAACTTTAGTTCTTAGAGGTCTTAAGAGCTACCACGGGCTATCTGGAATTTTTTAACGAGATGGACGGCAGGTTCTGTAGGCTGGCGGAGGACATAAGCACAGCCTCACGCATTGAATCGCTTGAATGCGTAAGTATGTACATCTCGTAGATAGCCAAGTATTTAGCAAATTATCCACTAGGACTCTTCTCGCCATCGAGAGTTAGACTGTTAGAGTTTACTGCCTACCCGTTCGGTACCCTCCTCTAAATCTAAATATATACTTATGCAAATACTTACAATCCTCTGGATGCTTTGTAGTCGAGAAACAACCATCAGCTGACATATATAAGAGTAATGCGCCTCCTGGAGGCAATTCTTTAAATCCACTAGCTAAGAACACCAGAAGTTGACTAATAGAAGGCTTGTATAGTAAATATTTGTGAGGATTGTCTCGATAATGACGGCCATTTTCTAAGTAACCCTTAGAACCTGGAACACCATATGGTGGTATGCGGCTGGCAGCCGGGCTGGCATCGTGCCCGTGCATGCCATGTGTGATGCTCATCGGATGTGTTGATTCCGTTGGTTCTCGTTCGAGTGTTTGTAACATTCTGCAAAAATACAAGGCGATATTATTAATACTAAGTATATAGATGTTAAAAGCGCAAGTAAATAAATCATTGGCGTTTTAACTTTACCTAAACATGTCCATTGTTAACTCGGAGAACTTCGCCTGCTCGCACGCCGAACCTACAATGAGTATCTCCTGCAGGCTCAACGTCATGTGGGGCGAACGTTCACACGGTGGCGTCGTTAGCGGCGATAACCTAGAACCGGAACCACTGAATATCAGTTGGTGAAGTCAAGCTATTCTAAAGAGACGGCGGTGTGGGCCCGTGCTTTCACAGAAGAATTGAGAATGTGATGCTATAAATGGTGTATGGAGGGTGGTGGGTGGTGGGTGGTTGGTAGTGGAGGTGAAGGTGGTTGTGGTGAGTGTGATGTATGTATGTGGTAAGCGTGTCGCACTGCGTAAGGCCAGTGCATATGAATATTTTTTCTGTTTTTTTTTCATAAATAATTTTTTTATTTTTTGGTGAAGGGATTTGCTGGAGAGTGTGAGATGTGAGGTGTGGTGGTTAGACTGATCAACTGACTGACATGTGTGTGTGCGTGCAAGTGAGACGCGTTGATCGGTGAGATGGAGTTAACATAACAATAATAATAACAACAACAATGTCATCAGCAACACAATTGTCAAACTGCAAAAAAAAAGTTGCAAAATAAGCGAAGAAATATTGCTGGTGGAATTTAGCGTTTTGTAAAAAAGTGACAACCTATGACAACAACAAAAAAGCTCGCATGAACTGTACGGAGTTTTTTGGATGAGTTAATGATCGATCAGTGAATCATGAGTCATGAGTGTTGATTCGTGACCCTAAATGAGCGCTCGTGTAAGAATGTACGACAATGTAAATATGTATGACTAATGAATGCGCTGATGACGTTGATGTTGTTATATGATTGTTTCGGATGTTTCAAGTCTTCTGTGATAAGCACAATAACCTATGTATATATAGAAATATCGTTTTAACATTAAATCAACCAAAAATATTCTCCATAATCATATTATAAACTTATTAACTTAATAATTATATCAAATAAAATGTATCGAAATCAAATTAAAACCGAACTAAATTTGTAACCAGAGTACCTCCCAAAATAAATATGTACAATTCAACACGTAATTAAAAAATTTTTTTTTTTTTAGTTAGTAAATTAGTTCTTTTCTTTAGGTTTAATTAAATTCTATTTCCTCCCACAGAAAGCACGGGCGACGGCGACGGCGTTTTCACGGCGTCCGTGTATAATTTTGCTTTTGACCTCACCTGTGTGAAAGTATGATGGGATTGGAATCCGCATGAAGAACAGCCACGGCAGCTTCAGCTTTTATAAAACCTTTTATCTCTTCTAAAACTAATGACCATTCTAAATGGTCTTCTGGCTCGTAACTGCAATGAAAATTTCAATTTAAATTGAATTAATTTTGTTTTTTTCACTTTACTAAAGTTTTGTTTTTTTTTTTGTATTTATTTATTTACTTACGTTGTTGTGTATTCCTGTATTTGTTTTTCCAACTCCGTCACTAACTCACGAACCAGCTTCATTTTCTTCAACAGCAAACAAACAACAATAAATCGCGCATAATAGCGCAACTTTTTCACCATTAAATCGGGCCGATCCTCCTTGATCGCACGCGAATAATATGCTCTACCTCTAATCGCTGCATAAAATTGATAAGCTTCATTCAGGTAGTTCGTTTCGCTGGTTCTTAAGCTGTGAGGCGAGAAAAAAGTAAATATATATATGAACAATGTGACGTCAGAAGAATCTTCATAGGCATTGAAGTCAGTAAAAACCGTTTTCCGATCGGATAATATTAAGCCGTCAAGTTTCGAAAAATCCCTCAAACAATTATTCTTTTATACTTTTTTAAAAGTTAAAGTAAAAACATATATGTTTAATTAAAAAAATGAAATTCCTGTCAGTTTAACCCAGTTCCGGTCGAAACCGAATGTCAGAGCATCCCTGATTTGGTAGCTCATATTTTTGCATTTTTCAATAAAAAACAAAAATTCCCTCCATTTTAGACGGCTGGACGAGTGGTCTAGGACACCCTGTATATATGTAAATGAGAAATTCGTTTGTTTGGTGGGCAATAATCTTGACCGATCTGACCACTTTTCTTGTTCGCTATAATATCCGGATGGTTTGAAAAGAAAAAAATTTAGGGAGCTGCCACCAGTTTGAATATTTCAGTTTAAGTAAATTTATAAGCTAAAGGAAGCAAATGGGTGTCAAAAGAAAGAGGTTTAAGAAGGCTTACAGCCGCAGATATTTTTGAGAAGGGCAGGCCACCTGCTTAAACAATTTAGTTCATTTTAATTGATAAGTTAAATTAAATATTACACTAAGGGTTGCAAAGTAAAGACGTTTAAGAAGGCTTAGGGCCAAAAATATTTTTTAGCAGTGTTGCCAGCTTTTTTTGAATATTGTATTTAATTAAATTGATAAGATAAATCAAATACTACAATATTGGTATTAAAAAGTGCTTTAAGAGAGCTTACAACCAAATATTCTTTTGAGCAGGGTTGCCACCTGTTTTGAAAATTTACTTTAATTAAATTGATAAGATAAAATAAATCGTCGTTTAAAGCACAAAACCGCACAAGCTCTTGGCTCAATCCTTATCCATTCGTCCTGAAATATACTAAGCATAAATGCGAGAGAACAATTTTGAAAAAATTAGAGTTTTTACTCTCTAGAAAATAATTAATGCAACCTTGTAATTTAATTTAAACGACGAAATATTACAATATGGGTAAAAGAAAGTTTACTCTCGAAAATATTTTTAGCATGTTGCCATCTATTTGATAAATTTAATTCAATTAAATTTATAAGATTAACTAAATACTACAATATGGGTGTCAAACGAAAGATATAATCACACAATTTCTTCAAAGGTGTATTAATTCAAAATTTGTCGTTTTTTGTACTGTGCGTAACAAATATTCAAAGACCGTATTTATCTTCCATATAACTACATTAGGGTTGTCCTTAAAAAAATCAAATGAACGAATTTTCAGTCTCACCTCCTCAATCGGTAATACCATGGTCACAAATATCACATACAAATTTTGGTCCCGATTAGAGACTCAAAATATTAAAATTAATTTTTTTCTCATCTAATACCCAAAATCGATACTGCCATAGTCGAAAATATCACATATAAATTTTGGTCCCGATTGGAGTCAGTTAAGTCGTGCCGTAAAGGGGTCAAAGCCAGATGCCTCTATGGACTCAAAAAATTAAAAATATATATATTTTTCATTTAATCCCTAAATCGATACTACTAAAGTAAAATATATCACATATAAATTTGGGTCCCGATTGGAGTCGGTTAAGACGTCTTCATAGGTAATCTGAAATTTGACCCCTGTGCGACATGCCTTAACCGAATTCACTAGTATGTATATATTTATGTACATAGGTTAGAATACGTTCACTCGTAGGCCGCATAAATCCATTGTGATGCCCAAAAGAGGGTTTTCCCAACCCTAATTTCTTTTTGAACCATCCTGATTTTCTTGCGAACTGCTATCAGACCCACTATTGAGGTTTACTCTAAGCTATCGAAGCACTGGTCCCCCAAGAAATTTGAGGCATTTTCTTTAGAGGGTAGAGCACTGGCATAGAAAAGGAACCGCTTCACTTATTTCAATAACGATTCTTTCCTTTAGGTTCCCAACTTGCATTAAGATGTTAATTTCGGGGCCGGGTGATTTCTGCTGGTACTAGCAAGATTTTACTTAGTAAAGTTAGTTTATTGAGAGAGTTTCTATTAGGGTATTTGACTATTAGCTTTTTCTCTAAAACATATAACCAGGTTACTGGAGGGTAGCTGACACCAAAATTGGTATACAAACTTTACCTTTCTGCCCAGTGCCCCACTAGGCTTCTTAGCGAACGCTAGGTAGAAGACCAATTAACTAAACAGCATCTATCTAAAATCTCTTTCAATTTCCATCCGATGAACTTATGGAATTAAGAATTTTCATATTCCTAATTAATCTCAGTAATCTTAGTATTTCAATACTTGCATACATAAATTGGTACTTACTAGTAATGATAATAAAGCTGTCCAATTTTGCTTGCAATTTCGCCAATTTGCCAACGCTTCAGTCCGTATTTCGAGTCCAATACCATGCGATGCTGTTGTTGGAATTTCCATAATTTCGTATACACGTCAAATGTACGCCCGAAATACGCCTGCCACTGTCTATGTCCATATTGTGGCAGGTCTCTGTGTTGTTTTATAAAAAAAAAAACACAAAAAATTGTATTTCCATAAATTAATATATGTAAATAATTGCAATAATTTCACTTACCTGAGGCCATTAAACAGTTGCTTTGATTTTTCGAGCAAATGACAAAACTCCAGTACTAACTTTCGATCCTGTTCTTCTGTGGATTCCATTTTCACCATACCGTTTCAATTGTAATGTGTTATGTGTATTTTATTAAGGAGCTGAAAAGAATAGATAGTCAAATGCAGAGTTGAGTGAATGTAAGGACAAAATCGACTACAGTAGAGATTAATTGAAAAGATACGAATATTGGTTATTGGAATATAGTCGTACAGCTAAAAATTCAATACGCCAGCAATTTTACAATGCGCGAATAAAAAGTATTTGTGTGCAAATATTTTTTTTATTTATTTTTTTTCTAATTGTCTTGTCCACTCTTAGCTACCGAATAAAATGAAAACCCCAATTGCGCTCTTTCACATTTGCCAACTGAACTATGAAATACTCGCATACTGAATGGGCAAGAAATATGATTGCAGCGGCGGCAACGACGGCGGCAACGACGTCTGTGGCACACTTACGAAAGTGGTAAGTGTTTGGGGGGGGAGGGCCCAACGGGTATCTATGAGTGGCACTCACATCGAACGAAAACGATTAAGCACTTGAATCTATCTAATATTCGCACACAGACGTTGCCAATTAAATCATTCACAAAGCAAGGCAGGGTTAAGATATGCGGTGAGTGCTGTGCGCAGGGACCAAGCGAACGAGCGTGCTAGCTAGCTAGCTAACAGGCAAGGGTAGACGTCACTGGCACAAATAAACAAACTGAATCATCTTTTGATTCAATAAACGCTACTGAAGGCATCATCGACGCCAAACTTGGCGGCAACTATAATGTAAGTACATACATATATATTTAGTGATGAAGCCGCCATCGAACATACATATGCACATTAGAGTGGTCCAATATTTGTATAGAGGGAAAAAATTACAACCTAGGCATATTGATATTTGCAATATCTATACCAACTTTCAATTTTCTACTGTAACAAATACAGAATGCTCAATGACCTCGAAATGTGCTACTGGTTCGCTGTTAAACTGGCAAAAATATTGGTGATTTTTATAAAAAGCTACTGTTGTGATATTTTTTAGATAATTTAAATTTGAAATGTTCTTAGGTTGCTTTACCAATTGTTTGATTAATATACAGTGACTGAAACAAATGACCACGTGTATATTTTCTTCAATAATTCGTAATGTTTTTCGCGTTAAATTTTTTTGTTGTTATTTTTATATAAAAATATTGTTAAAACCATCGCAATTTTAAGCTTTGAACAAAATTTAGGAAAATTCAACAAATTTTCATCAAAATTTCAACTTTTTATTGTGAACTTAGAAGATTTTTGGGTATGCAGTTTTATAGCCCATATAATTTTAGCCTAATGAAGTGCAAGTTTCAAACGGATAAAAAATCGCGTTGATTTTTGAGAATTCTTTTTGAGGCTACTTTTTCGGGTTTTTTAATATAACAAGCGCAATTTACAAAAACTTGCGTTGATACTTTGAAACTTTGTTGCTCACGGTCTCCCGCGTTTTATTTCATAAGAAATTCATACTTAGATATATGAAAAACAGTGCAAAAGTTCGTCACCAAAAAAATAAATCTCAAAAATCAAAGCGATTCCTTAGTCGTTTGAAATTTCCATTCATTAGACTAAAATTGTATGGGCTATAAAACAGAAAATTTTTTCAATTTTCCCAAATTTTGTATAAAGTTTGAAACTGTGATTTAGACGGTTCTGGTTAAAGCTTAGACCATATTTTTATATAAAAACAACAAAAAAAATTTTAACGCGAAAAACATTACAAATATTTGAAGAAAACCAACACGTGGTCATTTGTTTGAGTCACTGTATGTACATAAGTAAAACGTCAAGAATAAAATATGAGCATCATGAGCATCCTCTAAATTTATACTTCGAAGGTGCCCCAAACCCTACCTCGGATTTTTTAATTTTTTTTTTTACCACTCTAATGCACATACAAATGTACGTATGTATGCTGTTATTTGTAGTGCGGTATCATCATCATCATCACCGCGCTACAGCAGCTGTTGTTTAGTACATATTTAGGTACTTAAGTGTCTGCACACACACAAACCTGAATACATCTCTAAGTATGTATGTAGAAAGAATCGTGCGTTGGTCTAACACCGACCGATTATATAGTTTTATACTAGTATCTTATATGTACATAGATATCTGATTGCACTTGAAAGACAACAAAATATGTATGTATGTGCATAGCAAAAAATTCGAAAATATGAAAATCTTCACTCAATGACAAGCTGCCAAGGGAATCAATTACATACTTATATCTACGAGTATACATATGTAGTATGTGTATATGGTGGAGGTTAGGCCGACAAAGCCGGTTATGCAGCAACTGTGTAGAATTTAAGTGGCGCACTTGTGGTGTCCCCCTAGACAGGTTGATGAAGAATTGGCTTTTGGGGTAACTTACTAGAAGAACTCAATGATTTCTCTGCTAGATGCATCGATAACTGTAGGGTAATGGTAAATATTTTCGTAATCTATTATAAAGATGTGCATTATGCATGGTTAACAAGCATATTTACATACATATGTATGATGTATATGTCGATATCTAGGCATTAGCATGCTACCACGCAAAATGTGGTATAAATACGGGCAAATGTATTTACATATGTAATTGGTAAGTCAAAGATTGAAATATATTACAAGTAATTATATATGTATAAATAAGCATACATTTACATAATTCAAACATATTTATTTTCTTCAAAGGTCTACATACATATAATTGGGTCAATCCATGTCAAAGCGACCAATGGTGGGAATCGACCATTTTTGATTTGGCTAAATTTTGGTCAGAACTATTCTTTTATCCTATAACAAAGTGCTGCCAAAGAAAAAAATCTGAATTTTAATTTTCGAAAGTTATACAAAATTCTAAGTTTCACAACTTCCCGCATTTTGCAACTTTGTTTTTTTTTTTAATATCTCAAAAACTATTGTACCTACAGAAATGGTTC